AAACGAGAGAAAAAAAAACCAGAGAAAAAATCAAGGAATAACGGCCTGAAACCAAGCAACCTCCAAAAGAAAACAAACCCTAAAACAAAGAACCCGAACCAACGAGTACCAAGTCCAAAACCAGAAACCCTAATCGCCAAGTTCACCTAAAACCGACCGAACAGCCCCTGACCAGATCCGAACCAGCCTCTGATCAGATCCGAACCAGCCCCTGATCAGATCTGAACCAGCCCCTTAACCGCGGCAGCAAAACAGCAGCAAAACGATCCTGAACAGCCTTCTTCCTGCGATTGATCCTGTGTAACCGTGTGTTTAACCGAACCAAGGCTCCGATACCACTTGTTAGGAATCAGAGATCAGAGGTGGTCAAGCGGAAGCGAACAAACACACACACACACACAAATAGCAGAAATAAGAACACGAGATTTAACGTGGTTCGGTCAGTAACCTACTCCACGGGTTGCAACTAGGGTTTATCTTTTATTAGGTGCTCACAGATTATAGTTACATGATTGGGTATTTATAAGATATAAACTAGGGTTAACAACTTGCTAAACAAGAAACAACTAATGGGCCCTTTAATTAATAACTAAAACCGGCCCCCCATGTTTCTTCCCTTTAGCCGACCAGGCTTAAAGCCCACAGCTCTAAAGCCTTCACCGAATAACCCAACATCGGTTTCATCCCTCTAGACTTCTCAAACAAGGCCAATGATAGGTATTCAAACATCTGTCAACGTTAAAGAAAAAAGTTGAAATACGGATTTCTTAGGCTTCAGTTAAAAAGTAGTTAACTTGATACTATAAGAACTTTCTGAGTATTTACACTCATATTCAAATCTTAGAACCTCAAGGGTCAAGAACATCCCTCAATATATTCATACTTTTAAATTCAACATTAAGTGATTTTACAAATATGAATTAAAAAAGTAATTAAAAACATGTATAAAAATAATTAAAATTTAATTAAAACCACAGACTAATTAAAATGATTAAAAAAATCAAAACAATCCTAATCCTTAATTCTTGAATGATCTTCAAGATTTGTGGTCGTGACTATTTTTTATACTGTCGCATGAGAGCCTCCTTGAAGTCTCTTGTTGGATTGTTGGTTTGGAGAAGCGTGGAGCTCGGATGGTATATACTTATGTATATAGAGAATTCTAAGATCATATGAAAGATATTCCAAGACTGAAAACACTGTTGATAGAAGTCATTTCTATCTTGTCTCAAACTATATAGAAGACAATAAAGCATGAGATATCTTGCTTACTACTCATAAAAGGACTACAAAGGTAAAAATTGCCAAATTTCAGATAGTTATTTCCAAAATTTAAAAAACTTAAAAGGAGGGATATGATTCCATCACGAATTTCCATTCATGAATAAGAGAGTTGGCAAATGAAGCTGAAAGACCTGGTGAACCATTTTCAAAAAAGAAAAAAAACTTGTGTCAAAAGTTTTTCGTTCTCTTCCAAAAAATTCTATGAACGCCTATGCTATGAGGCAATCAAAATGCCACGAGCATGTCTCTTGATGAGTTGATGGGAAACCTATAAACACTTGAGTTGGAGATGAACAAAGACGTGAAAAGTAAAAAAAACTGGTAAAAAACGCTTAATAGAAGAAGATGATCTGGACACGGGTAATTGATTTCACGAACAATTGCACATGGCTCTAAAAGATTTTAAGAGAAAATGACTTCAAAAAAAGAAGAAAATTCAGATGAAGATCTTAAATTTGCTTAGCTGCATGAATGTGTTGATGGCTAAAAGAAGACTGTGGAATAATTTTCTAAAGAGTAAATGAATGCAAGTTTGGAGGGAGAGCAAAGGATGACACAGAGGATGATGCAGTAGAACAACTTCTCGTATGCCCGTACTACAAGAAAAGTGGATTGAGTTACTGCAGGATAACAAAACTCACATTGGAGTTGTTTGAAGCACGAAAGAAACTTAAAGAGGTAGGAGAATGTAAACCTGACTTGAGAGATTAAGTCTAGGAATTCCGCAAGTGGTTGAAAAATGAAAGATCTGAAGCTATTGAACAATAAATTGATGCAGGCAAAAGTTTCAGAGATCAAACCGGTATTGGCATTACTAGTGCAGAGCCCACACACAACAAAACTCCTCAGGTTAAAATATTTGTTCCAGAAGAAAGCAGGAGTGAAAAGAGTGTGACCATACATTCTCTACCACACATATTCTTAACAAGATGAAAGGAGGATATTTCAATAATATGAAAGGTATTGCTCACTACAATCCCATGTGCTGTTGTTTCAAAAAGAGGGGACACAGTAGAACATAGAGCAAGAAGCTCAAGCCGCAAGGATCAATAAGAGGACATTCAGTAACAAAGATGATTTGGGTTTCCAAACAAGAAAAACCAAGTTAGAATAGTTGCTAATTCATGTTTGAAGGGAACTCACTTACTCATAACGAATGGCTTCTAGACACTGAATGTTTGCACCATGTGATCGGTGAAAAACTAAGGTGCAAAGTTGGGAGAAAAGATGACCATTTTACTTATGAAAGAGCTAAGTCATTGATAACTATGACGAAATGATTTTTTAAAAATCAGATTCTAAGAAAACTGGTAATGCTTTGTTGGCTCCTCAGAGTTATAACAATCTAACGTTTATGGCAAGGTTGTTAAAATTGCGAGTCGGATTGTAATATTGTGTGATTGTACAATGAGTGCTAGGGTTTTCGATCCGGATTGCTGCTATAATCCGAAACTTCTAGGATCGTCTCGGATCAACGAGGATGGCTTAGAATCGTCGGATCGCCACAATGACTTGATTCGGAAAGATGATAGAGTAGAATAAAAAAGAGGGAAAGAGTCGTGTGGTTACATGAATGGCCTGAGTGATCCCGACTTTAGACAAGGCTTGGTACGGGGTGCTTCCCATTTTCATTCTTCCTTTTTTGAGAACTAAAGATTAGTATGGTAGTATAAGTTTGAGTAGTTTTAGTTTCTTAGACAGCATGTATATGATCTTACTTGTGTTAAATACTCCTTCCGTCCCACTCTTTCAGTCCCGGTTTCTTTTCGGCACACATACCATGAAAAAGAGATAAGGGTGAGAAAAGACCTAAATTGCCCCTGCCTTCGTCAACCCTTAACTTGCTTATGGTTCTGCTTCCATTTGGAACTTGCATACCATGCTATCAAAATTAAAGCTTAATTCTTTTTAATCTTAATTCACTCATCAATCCCACATTGAGCTCATGGTCGTCATCATCTTCTCCGTCCCAATTCGCATATGGATATACTTAAGCCTTGTCTGTTACCAACTGTCATCAGTCAGATCTTGTTCTTTGTCGTATTTTCTTCGTCTCCTTCGTTGCAGGCATCATTGCCTTTCCGTCAATATGTCTGGTCTGATCTCTTTGAGATACCAGTCAGATCTAGTTCTTAATTGCTGGGGTCGTTGCCGATGTTTGTTCAAATCTTGAGACAATTGATTTGTTCGTATCTCCTTGGAGCACAGGTCAATTCTCCTCCGTCGTTGTCGATGCCATCGCCGCTGTTGTCACCAACCGACATCGTATCCACCGGCCTGGCCTTCTTTATAACCTTTGTTTATTTGGTAGAAGAATTATGCAATGAAAGTGGTGGGTGTAATTGTGAGAGAATAAAGGGTAAAAATGACAATTGAATACATTTAGTTTTACTAAAAGAGGAAAATGGACAAAAACACAGGGCTTCGTGACCTCTCGATTTGGAATAGCTCTTTTGGACATAGTGAAACCAAGCCGATACATACGATAGGCGAAGGATTTCATAGCGCCTGGGGAACGCAAGTTGAATCGAATTCCTCGAAGAGGGAGAGTGGAAGTTATCGGTTACCAACTCATTTGAAACGAAATGAGTTTTTCGAAACGAATCTCTAGCTACTTCGTCCCATCTCTCAAAAGATACAACAACAACCCAGTTAAATCCCACAAGAGTAGGGTCTGGGGAGGGTGTGTGTACGCAGACCTTGCCCCTACTCGAAAGTAGAGAGGCTGTTTCCAAAGAGACCCCCGGCTCAACGTCGAAAGTTGCATTGCTTGACTAACCGCTACTTCATTAATTAAAGAAGCGCAAATAGTTTAGAGATCCATTTTGATTTATTCCATCACACCCAAAGCCAAAAAATAGTGAAATTTTGGCTCCATCGGAGATGATGGAAAGATCTCAAAAGATAATTATAAAGATTTGATATGATTAAAAATATGTATCACACTTGAATCAGAGAACAGAGATTCATTTCAAATGAGTTGTTCGTTGAACTCATTTCGTTTGTTCGTTGGAAAGAATTCTCTTTCTCGATGGAGCCGGCCACCCTGAAAAGGAATACCGGACGAAAACAGTGGGACGGAGAGAATAAATATTATTTCTGTGGTAGAAAGAACTTTTGTACTAGAATCATAAAACCAAAAACTGGAAACTACCTGAAACGGATCCTAAAAATACCATGGGCAGTCTTTGTGGATGGTACCTGTGTTCGTTTGAACTAAATCTGGAAAGCTTTCTTATCTTTGAAAGCTTTGATGTCTCTTGTACTTGGGGATGACAACGGGTCGGGGTCGGGTCGAATAGTACTATACCCGAATGTGACCCGACCCGACTTTTAAAACCGAATCCCAAACCCAACCCGAAACCCGACTTATAAACCAAAAACCCAACCCGACCCGAATCCGACATTTAAACCCAAAACCCGAACCTGATACCGTAATTTAACCAATAACCAATTCAACGTACCCCAAGAATTTTAAAAAGAATAGATCTAATTTTTTTTGTCTTTTTTTATTAAGGAATTATTAAAAAAATTGAAAAAGGCATATTTAGTAAAGTAGCACCCTGTCAAGAGATTATATAGAGTGCTCATTATATCCATATATAGGCTTTTAGGTTATAAAATATTCGGGTTTGGGTCGAGTCGGGTTCGGGTTTCGGTTTTATCTTGAAAGCTTTTTTATCCTTGAAAGGTGTGCTGTCTCTTGTACTTGAGCTTCACCCGAAAAAGAAACTAATCGTTATGTGAATTCTTGTAATTACAGAATCGATACTATGCTGCGTTTTGGACTATGAGAAAGAAAAGAAAGGCGGAAGAGCAAACACTGCTGTCCTCTCCTATTGTTTGTTTTGAGTGTCAAAAGTGACATTGAAATGTGAATTTTCTATTGCGCTTGATCGAGGACTTTGGTATTCAATAGTTCTTGAGATATTTCCTTATTTATTTCTTTCATATTTTATGTTTGGGATTTTTCTTATTAAGAAAAGAAACGGCATTTGTTTGTGTGAGAGTATATTATAACAATAATCTTGTTCTCTCTCTCTCTCTCTGTCCCTCTCTCTCTCTCTCTCTTCCCATACCCCATAGTGAAACATTCCCTGTTACAATTTGCGCTCCATCTCTCTCACTCTCTACGTCTTCGATTGATGCTTGAGCTGCTCTCTTTTTATCAGCACTCATGTTAAGAGCCGTACTTTAAGAGAACCCGATATGAAAAGTGAAAAATTTGTGATTGACATATATTTGTTGCTAATAGTTAACCGTTGTAAAACATAAGTTATTAGACAAGTCGCGATTTGCCAATTTCTTGAGATGGAGAAACTATTGATGCAGACACCTTGTAATTTCGTTGCATCATTGGGTGTACGAGCAGTGATACGAGAGACGATAAGAAAGGACTACGTTACTGTGAGATATTGCGGGCCCTAATTCTGCTGGTGTACTTTTGCAAACACGAATGTAGAGTTAAGAAGATAATGACGTCAATGTTGAATAGTACTAAGTACACCACTTGTGTACCCCATATGCACACCATATACTCCCCTCACCTCTCCCATACCTCCACCCCCACCCCTGTTTTTTCTATTCTCATACAATTTCCCATTCTTATCTCTCCATTTCTCTCCTTCGGTTTTCTTTTTTCTTTTCAATTTTTTGCAGATCTGGTTCATCGGACATCGCTAATCCTCAGCAGCACCATAACTCGCCGTTGCCATATGTCTTCCCACTCGCCGGCGCCGCTGCTCTGTGTCTTCCCACCTGCCGTCACTGCTGCTTTGTGTATTCCCACCCGCCGCCGGCCTTCTTTTCTCTCTCGCTGCCCAGAAACTGCACGGAGGAGGCTCTCCGTGACCATGGCTTAAATATCCGTCTCCATCGTCAATCTCGAAACCTTAATCGAAGGAGTTTGTACGTGATAATGTATGAAGAACCCACATTCTCCCCTAACTATTTTTGCAAGTAAGTTACATTAAACCCTTGTTTCAGTTGTTGATTGCCTTAATGTTTAGTTTTTTAACTAAGAGAGACACTATGATGTATAGGATTTTGTCAAACAAGCCTGGATTGTTTGTGAATCTTTCAAAAAATGCAAAAATTTTGGGACATAGTCATTAAATGTTACTTGTTGAGTATTTTTTTGGATCAGACATACTTCACAACCCTTATCAACAATAGGAAGGATCATAAGTGATGTTTATATGTGCGTATATTTTCACAGACAATATGCTATTTCCAGTACTATAACACAGACAGAGAATGTATGTGTTAATTGGAAGAAGTTGGAACTGAAGAGTTTGAGTGTTGTGATGAATGTTTTGATGTTTGACAGATTTACTAACATGTGGATGTTATTAGAGATGAACATATTTTACCAATCATTTTGGACCATACATGTTCGAAGCGGAAGGACGCCCCACGTAAGATTTGATTTCAGACAACAGACTAGAAAATTACTCGCAAACAAAAAGTAAACAAGAAGGGGTGATGCAATGCTGATAACGAAGATCTATGTCAAATGTCAAACAACCCTTACGAGCATTTTGGAGTTGGCAGTGGAGAATAAGAAGTTCCAAGTCAAAGGTCAAGCGAGCCTTCCAAGCGTGTACGAGTTTCAACGCAGGCATGGGAAGTCCTAGATGAGGATGGGATTTTTGAATAAATAGTATTAAGTGTAGATTTGTAAAAAAATATGAATATTTAGTCTCTGTGTGATCTAAGATTGGCAATTGCAATTTGTTTTCTTTCTTTTTTCAAATGCAGAAAACTTAGAAAGATATTGCACTTTTAAATCATGTTACACTGACATGAAGAGTCTGTTTTTGAAGGAGTATAGAAACCTTATGTCTGTGTGACTTGATAGTTGTAATTGAGGTTTTCGTTAATTTTTTAAATTTTTAATTGAGGTTTTCGTCTAACGACCAATACTTGTAATTGCAGTTAGAAAATATATTACATATACTTAAACAATATTTTTTATTTCAAAAAATAAACAAAAATTTTACGAAACATCAATTTATATTTTCAAAATAAGCCAAAAATTTGAACCAAAACTAGTTGGTTGTTCGAAATATCCATCACATTCAGATTTCAAAAGTAACAACGTATTAAAATCAAAATAACATTTAGATAATATGTGTCTGTGACTAGTAAAAATGAACATTTTCTATAAGTGAAACTAAAAGGGTAATTACCCAAGCGTGGGATGTCCCAGGTGAGGATGGGGTATTTGACCTTACCATTACAAACCTGGACTTGTCTTTAGGCATTCCATAGCTTCGAAGGTATGGATCCTTATTTTTGTGTAAATACGATTTTGTATGTAAATGTCATAGACATACCTCACGCAGGACATTGTGGTTACAGACATTTAATGTCTATGCGTAGTAGTATATTTATGTCTCTGTCTACATGTATCTAAGTGTCACGATTTTTTTTGTCAAAACATGAAGATGCTAGTAATGACATGTAAAAATTTTCATACACAAGCTATCTTTGACATTGTGGGTATATTTATAAAACAAACACTTCTAGCCTAGGACATGGATAAAAAAGACACTTCTCGCCTATGACATGAATAAATCAGACCCCATCTGTCTGACATTGGTTATACTTAGAAAACAGACATTTCTCACATTGGACTTGACGAAAACAACAACCCGTTGTCTCACATTGGGTAAATTTATAAAACAGACACTCCACGCGTAGGACAAGAAAAAAACAGACACAACGAATCTGTGATTTTGTGTATAATTATAGTTTGGATTTTTGTGTCCAGGGTTTTAAGTCATAAAAAGTGTAGATGCCAAAGTATTTTCAATGTATGAAGTATGTAAATAGAAGTGTCAAAATTTAGAAACACAGACACTTCTGTCATTGTACATTGAAAATAAGTGCAGAAAATATCTGTGAAAGAAAACATGGCAGATATGGCAATACAGGCAGGAACATGACGAAATGAGAAAACATAAACAAAAAAAATATGTATTACACGAACAGGTCAAGGAGTAAATGTTTGTGTGTTACAAAGAGATAACCCATTCACAACACGTAACTAATGTTATCAACCAAAAACACCTTGAATTCATTGATTTTAAGGACAATGTTTAGGTACATTCCCTTTCCTCAAACGCCACAAGCGAACAGTGAATTCGTTGCGGAAGTCTTGGACATGATCGTGTTTACAACTTGATAGTAGTGGCAAGCGAGCCATCAAGTGTTCCGCAAATGCAAGTACCATGACGCCACAGACACCGGAACTGCACCAACATAAATTAATCATGTCAGTGCACACATGACATAAAGAGAGCAAAGAAAACTAATAACCTTAGCGTAGTACTTCTATTAGAGATATGATAGTAAAAATGGGCAAAAACATGATACAAAGCACGCAAGCAAGAAACACTGAAAACAGATATTCTGCGTCTGTGAGTAGCAGTTCACATACATTTGCCATTTTTTCAAAAACTAAACATGGAAATAACATAATTAAGAACTTAGGGTTCATAATAGAAGAACAAAAAGTAATAATTCAGACACATAAAAACATGATACAAAGCACGCAAGAAATTAAAATAGAAAACAGATATTCTGCGTTTGTGAGAAGCAGTTCACATACATTTACCATTTTTTCGGACATAAACATAAATAACGGTAATTAAGAACTTAGGGTTCATAATCTAAGAAGAAAAGGTAAAAATTCAGCATATATTCACCTAGAAGATCCCTGTTTGTTTGTTTTTTTAATTCTTCTACTTCGGACCATGCATTTCAATGGTCATTTTTTAAGAATTAAACTCAGTTTGTGAAGCAATAAATTATTTCAATTAATGGAAGTTTGAGGAAATTCTGCATCACATTTGCTCATTATTTGATACACAAACCAATTACGCAGTTTTAGGGAACCTATGCATCAGATTTGGGGAAACTCAGCTTGTGGCTGCCATTAGAGAATCAATTTAGGGGAACTTTTTCCTTGTCTATTTAATCGCTGCAATTTTTCATTTTGGCTAGAAATTCAGCATATTAATACCTGGAAGTTGATGATGTTGCGAGAGACAATCACCGGCGATGATGTTGCGAGAGAGAAAATTGAGAAGACGCAGGGACAGGGAAGGTGCAGGGACGGAAGAAGCGGCGGGTGAGATAAGGGGTGAAACCAAAAGAAAGAGAGAGAAATTTTATTTTTTGGGATGGGGGGGGGATTTCGTGGGGGGTATGAAGT